TAACACATTTGTGCTGGAATTTGGTGGTAAAGTAACATTTTAGACAAAATAGAGCAAAAAAACTTTATATGATGATGGCGCCGATTTCAAAAGCCAAAGATTTTTCCTTAGAGCATTTTTCAGGACGATCATGCAAACACATCCAGCAGAGCACACTTAAATAGCCTATAAAAGTAACACTAAAGCTGTTTCTCATTGTGGATCGAAACATTTCGCATTAAAAAGCCGTCGAGTTTGTGTTTAAAGTGTTGCGATTTTATCGGGCGAGGTCTAGTTGTACACAAACTAATATTATCTTTGAAAAGAATCCTTGAAGGCTACTCGACGTTAAAAATGTAACAATGTACTAAATCATTTGTTAACGCAAACGTTTACTTTCATAACGTTCCTCTCTGTTTATACAAAGCCAGTAAGCTGCACAGTCATCAGCGAAGTATTTTTGAAACATTAGCATTTTTGTTTGGCATTGTTGTAGGAAAGTACTCGAGCCTAAATTTGTCTTACCTTTTAAGAAGTTAATACTGGTATTGCAGCAATTACATATGAACTCAGTAACATGTGTTTAAAAGAAAAAGCATAAACCTGTCCATTACTGCTGTTGACATTCCCAAGGTAATGCTGGTTAAAGATGATGTTACCCAAAATTAGTACATTACTAAAGCGCCCTTCATAATGTTTGGGACAAAGTTTTGCTTTTGTACAACTCCACAGTGGATTGTAAATTTTAAAATATACTATGTGTGATTGATGAGCTGATCAGCTCTAATTTAAAGGGTTTAACAAAAAAAATCAATGAGTTGTTTTTCAGAGGTTCAAAATTTCTGGGATAACATAAATTTATGTCTTAACATCAATTTTAAGACACTTTAAAAAAACGAAGGGCCACATTTTTCAACCAATGTCTGCTTGGTCTAGAAACAATGGACATCAGCAAATGTTGTTTCCTTTGATCTTTACTCAAGACAAACTAGATTTCCCTCTATGTGCTGATATACCACTTTGGATTTAATCCTTAGTTATTATGAAACTCTGGCCCTCTTCCACAGTGGGTCCTTAGCTCTGGCTCTCTCTCCTACCCCCTGCTGGTTGCGACAGATGGCTGTCAGTCCCTGAGCCTTGTTCTCCTCGTTGGGGCTTTCTCTATATTTTAGGGTCTTTACCTTAACACTTAAAGCTCCTTAAGATGGCTGTTGGGATTTGGTGCTTGCTGGGTTGAGATCATGTGACAGACTTGGACATGGAAGAACGTCCTGTTTTTTCTCCCTTGAGAAACTGTTGGGTTGCTTTTTCAGTATGATTTGGGTCCTAATCTGTTTGCACTGTTAGTGCTGTCTGATCATTTTCTGTCTGAGCATCGTTTGGTTAGGTCTGAGCAGAGCGTAAAGCGCTGCACACTTCACAATGCTTCTATCAGCAGTCACATTGTCAGTGACCCAGTTTCACTGGCACGCTGCTGGCTCCACCATGTTAGGCAGATGCTGTGTGTAACAGTCACAATTGTGTGGTGTCTCTTTAAGACAACTTAAGTTAATGCTAATGATGTCACAAGTGTGCGCCACTGCTCTCTGTGGAGTGTGGGAGAAGTGTGCTTGCACACTTACGTATGGACCGAGATGGACCTCATATCTTTATCTCCTCACTCAAAGTAACGTTACAGGTTGTATGAACACAACTCGCCTCGTAAGGTTGGTGAAGAGTGTGTTTATTAAAGGATGAGCACTGTGGAAATCCCAGTACCAGTGTGCTCGTGAGTGTTTCTGCCTTCCCCTCTCAACCACTGAATACAACTCACGTTGCATGTGGCATGCTTTGGATCATCAGCTGTTTCTCTCCTTATCTATACTTTTATTTCCTCGTCTTTATGGTTCAAGTTAGTCTTGGCTTTTGTCTTGTCTTCCTCCCCTAACCCCAACCAAGGGCTCCTGAGCCTGGTTCTGCTGGAGGTTTCTTCCTGTTAAAAGGGAGTTTTTTCTTCCCACTGTTGCCAAAGTGTTTGCTCATAGGGGTCATATGATTGTTGGGTTTCTCTCTGTATGTATTATTGTAGGGTCTATGTTACAATATAAAGCAGCTTGAGGGGACTGTTGTTGTGACTGTACACTGTGTAAATCAAACTGAATTGAATTGAACTGTTTTTTGTTTTTTAACATGTTTTCTGGCCTAATTTAACTTTCTTTATCTTTAGTGTAATCATTGGTTTGCAGCTTGTTATAAACCATTTGT